TAGATGGACACCAATACCTTTATTTTTATGTGGAGCTGAGGATCAAACCCAGTGCCTCACACATTCTAGGCAGATGCTCTGTTACTGAGCTACAGCCCCAGCCCCTGGAATCATGGAGTTTAAAGAGACTAGCAAATGCTTTAGTTCCATCTTCTCCCCCATGCTAGAATCACTTCAACACTATTCTTGATAGTTGCTGGCACTTGCTGTGGTTGAGGAGCTAGGTAAAGCATCCTGGAATCTTCCATTTAATTTCTGGAGTCCACCAGTGGTTGTATAGTTCTTTTTTTCTGTCATTTTCATTCTCGATCTGAGTTCTGCCTTCAAAACAGCATAGAATATATACTAATCTCTTCTCAAGTGTGAGTTCCATATGGTGAGAGACCACATATTATAAGGAAACAGATAAATAAGTGGTTGAATGAATAACTTCTGAATGGCTGTTTTAGGCAGTAATGGTTCTAACATTTACCCTGCCACACTTGGCTACAACTGGTTTGATTAAGGGTAAACATCTGATTTAGTCTGGGCCAATCAGATTCATTTCTTGGGGAATTTGGAATTAGACCTATTTCTGGGGAAATGAGCAGAAAGGTGGGATATTGAAGCTGGAATTAAGGACAAAACTAGACACCGCTCAAAGTTCCTAGCAGAACCACGAGATTCTTTACACAGATTCATAACACAGGTGAGAATCACATTAACTTCTGGGAGAGTGAGGTGGACCATGGATCTGATTGCTTCCCTGCATGTGGCTCCAGTTTCCATGAGGGTCAGCTGTTCTTCATGTCTGTGAGAGTTCTGAATTCTTATAGTAATTATTATTTCCCCAGAGGGACAGTTACATACACATGCTTTGAATGGAGTTGGCCTAGGTTAGTTCTGTTCCTTATACTCAAGCTATCACTGAAAAAGACAGTTTGTTCAACCTAACAAAACAGTAATTCTTTTTGTTTTAAATTTTATATACATATTTAGTTGTTGATGGACCTTTATTTATTTTTTTGTATATGGAGCTGAGGATTGAACCCAGTGCCTCACATGTGCTAGGCAAGTGCCCTACCACTGAGCTACAACCCCAACCCATATAACAGTAATTCTTGACTCATGCTCTGAGCACAGAAAACTAAAACACTAAGTCCCCCCACCCCCGTAATAAGAATTCGTGCTAACACAACTGTATAATAGATTTTGGGTAAAGTTTACTCAGTCACAAAATTGTTCAGCAAAATGGGGCTGGGGATGTGGCTCAAGCAGTAGCGCGCTCCCCTGGCATGCGTGCGGCCCGGGTTCGATCCTCAGCACCACATACAAACAAAGATGTTGTGTCCGCCGAAAACTGAAAAAATAAATAAAAATTTTCTCTCTCTCTCTCTCTCTCTCTCTCAAAAAACAAAAACAATGTATTAAGCAGCTCAAGTCATGTCACTTTTTGTGGCCAAGGCATATCTTTATCTCTAATAATTTTCCCTTTCTTACTTCTTCTCCAGGAGAATAAAAATAAACAGGCTACTAATAACAAGCCCCTGAGCAATGGTAAGTAAATAAAAGTTAATTAGCTTTGAGAGTGGGCAGGAGGGACAAGGCAGTGCTCTAAGTACCTGATTTTTACCACATCCATTTTGAATGCAGAGAGAATGTTTTGTTTATTGTGTATTTCCCTCTTAAGTTCTTGGTTGCCAAATGTGTGGTAAGAAAATATTGGATACCTGGTTATATATGGTTTTAGGCATATGTGTGTATACGGAGATTTCATATAAGTTGCATCTAAACCTAAGTATATGTACACACACATACCATACTAATCCAACAATGAGGAAGAGTCAATTTATTTTTATTTATTATTTTTCATAAATAAATGTGATTGCATGTACAGACCAGCAGATATATTGGGAATCTCAATCTCTGATTCACACATCTTGAGTAAAACTGTAGGCTACCTTTGTCTATTCATGAGGATTTTAATTCATCTCCTCTATCCCACCCTTTACTTAAACCAAATTAATTAAACCAAACATTCAGATACCATTTCCTAGCTGCTTTTCTGCAGTTCTAGTTTGTGTGGGATCCCCATTGCCCCCATCACTTTGGGGTTCAGCTTCAAGGATGACAAGGGACATGATAAAGAAGCACATTTTTTTCCATAGTCCAAATGCCAGTGCAGTTTTTACTTGGTGCAAATTCATTTTAATTACCAATAGAGTTATTGTGAGAGTTAAAAGAATTTATGTCTGTAAAACACTTTGCATAGCCCGTGGTACTTAGTAAGTGCTCAATAGGTGATTGTTTCTAGCACTGTTTCAATTGTTGGAGAATTTTGCTATCCATGACCCCAAAGAGAAATGTAGGAAATGATTTGTGATGTACAGGATTAAGGTCAGAGGAAGAATTTTAAAAAGAATTGTACGTTTTCTGTTCCTACTGATCTTAGTTTTAAATGTTATTATTATTATTATTTTTGGTGATAACCTATTTATTTAGAGCTCTATCCTGCACTTTCTTGTGAGGACAATCCCAAGCTTCTTTTTCTGTGAGAGCAAATTCCCTTGTGCTTCTTAAATTTTTGTTTTCTTGGTGTAGAGTCTGTTTTCCCTAATTCACTGTGGGTTTCATGAACTTTTCCCCTTTCAATCCTAGTTGTTTCAATCTGGGCTGTGGCAGGAATGGTATTTAGAGAAAAGAGATATGAGAAATGGCAGCTCTTTAAGATAAACATATTTTAAGACCCCAGATACTTTTATAATAATTTTTCATTCCTTCTTAGACACTTTGTAAGAAAACGGCCTATTTTGTGTATTTTTACTCTTGGAATTAGGAACAAGTTCTTACCAGCCAGCTGCTGTGCTTTTGAAGGCTGAAATGCTAGTGTTTTGGTCTCCACCCTCTTGGATGACTTGCGGAAATACCTTCCAAGCACCTTCCTATGAGAGTTTCCTCAGATTTGAATGAAGAATTAGAAAGGACTGAGGCTACATAATGTCATAAGTGCATATAATTTATATTTGTGGGAAACCCAATCAAACTCACAGGGGAGGTTGAGGAATGTGGATGCCCATAGATTTTAAATAACAGGATAGAATATTATTTGGAAAACAGGGGATTGGATGGATTTTGGATTGGATGTTGATCACAAGATTGTATCTCCAAAATGAACACTGTTGGCTGAGCAATATACAGTTGTGTATATGGTTGTGTAATGTGCTCCATTTACTTGCCACACACCCACTCCAAAGGCTAGTCTGTGTTCTTTACTTACTTTGTACCCCCATCCTCAGGTCTGAGTCCCTGTTGACAGGGAGATCAGCCTGGCCTCAAGAACATGTTCTGTTAGTTCAGATGTTAAGTGGTTAATGTTTTTCATATACTTAAATTTCTTTATGGTAAATGGTAGAGACAATTATTTTACTGTATTCCCAGAATATACCAAGGGAATCAAAGAACTCTAACAAGAGACCTCATTTTCAGCTAATATGTCTGTGGCTAGGTTGTAAAACTTCAGAAAAATCTCAAGTTCTCATGTTACCCTGAAGCAAGAAATGAACTTTCTTAGTAAATATGTCACTAAATAACTATTGTTAAGTGACTATTAAAATAACCTACATCATCCTTTATCTGTGCTTTAGTTTAAGATTCGAGCAGAATTATGATTAGATTTATCAATACAATTAATTTACTCTCTAAGATTTGTCTTCTAGGAGAGAGCTCTTTGTTCTCTACCTGGGGAACCTCTGTCTCTCTATGGTGTAAAAAGGAAACATCTTTTTTAGAAAATAGTCAGATATTGCGGTAGGGAGTATGTAGATCATCTTCATTATTGTATCGTCCATCAGGGCAGAGATGGAAACATTGCGAGCTGGGAACATTGAGTTTCATTTTTACCGGTATCTTTGCCTTTTAGAAGGTATTTGTTAGGAGTACTTAAAGTAAAATGGATTGCTTCAAAAATTGTGAGATGAGCTATAGGGCAGCTTTTCAATTTAATTAGCTTTTTTGTTTGTTTTATATTTGCTACTGAGAAAAACCGAGTAACACCTAAGTTATCCATTCTTTGAAATATCCAAGTTGCTTAGAATTCTGTTAGGTTAGCTAAGAACACTGTTTCTAATCATCCCAAAATGTATAGCTAGATAATTCAATTTCCTGTCAATTATAATCTCCTTATTGTACTCCTTTCTGTATTGTGGGTATTTACCAACTCAATTCTAGTTTACACCTCCAATGAGAAGGATTAACAATAAAAAGCCTTTCCTATGCACAGATTGGGGTAGAAGACCCATGATCTTCCCCTACCCCATCTTCAAAGCTCCCAGACCCCAAACTTCAAAATCATATATTATTTCTCCCCTTTTGATCTAATATTAAATCATATTGAATTTGTTTCAACAATACTTTTCTATTTATTTCTCATTGTTCATTACCATTGCTATAGCCTTAGCTTAGATCCTCCTAATTAATTCATTAGTGTTTTTTATGCATTGATTTGTTAACTCAGCAAATAACTGCTATTCATCTATACCTACTAGGTACTAGGTATTAGTAACTGAATACCAGCAATAATCAAGCTGAAACTCATATTAGGCATAATCTTATCTAGTCACAGAAGAAGTCTTTAAATACATTTTTATGTATTATATCTCCCTGTTCCAATGCATTAAAAACATATTACCAGATTAATTTTATTTATTGCTGTATTCTGACCTGAGAGACCCTAATGGTACCGTCCTCATCTTTTTTCCAGGGTTATCTCACAGCGTTATTTTTCTTACATTTTAGATCAATGCATCTGCTAGGTATGCATTACCACATTCTCTAGACTTTCCTTAGCTTTACTGGGCATGCCATTTTTATCGTATGGAAATGCTCTTTTGTACATCTCATGTTCAAAATTCATCTCTTTTTTCCCTAGTATACTGAACAGTTTAGTAATCTGAAAGCTGAGATTATGATGCTAATTTTTAAACTGGAGAATGTAACACAAAACAGAGAAAGACTGGAAACAGAAAAATACAGATCACTTCACAAATTTACATGTTGTTCTTGTGCAGGGCCATGCTAATTCTCTGTGTATCACTTCAATTTTAGTATATGTGCTGCCAAAGCAAGCACACTTTTTTTTTGGTACCAAGGATTGAACCCAGGGGCACTTAAACCACTGAGCACCACCGACCTTGTTTATTTTTTAATTTTGATACAGGGTCTGGCTAAGTTGCTTAGGACCTCACTAAGTTGCTGAGGCTGCCCTTCAACTTTGATCCTATTGCCTCAGCCTCCCAAATTGCTGGCAATTACAGGCATGTGCCACCATGCCCAGCCTATTTTTAAAGTTCACATTCACTGTCACTTTTTCCAGGAAGCTTTTCTTGATCTTCCTCCTTCCATTTGGGCAGATCCTTGTCGGTTGTTGTCCTGCATCAACCCTTGCTATCTAACACCAACTCTGTACCTACTCATAATGAAATCCTTGTCTTGCAACTTGAAGAGGGAGCCAGAGATGCCCAAAACAGTTGGCAATTGCTCCGTATTTCCTCTTATTGCTGGAATGCTCTTGTGCTCTGCCAATAACTTTGTCCATCTCTGTCCTCTTTTCTCTGAACTTTCACACAAATTCTGGTGTTTTCTTGCATTTTATAATTGATTTTCCTGAATGGATTTTGAACTGACTTCTCTGTTTTTTCCAAACTGGATATTCTTGGTTGAAAATTTGCTTTTCTTCCATTCCCCAGAATCCAGTCTTGCCTGGGGCCAGGTCAATGCCAGACTTTCCCTGTCTTTTTCCCCAACAGAGTAGGGTGGTTGACAAATTTATCTTCAGCTGGACGTGGTGGCACATGCCTGTAATCCCATCAGCTTGGAGGCTGAGGCAGGAGAATCGTGAGTTCAAAGCCAGCTTCAGCAACTTAGTATGCCTCTAAGCAACTCAGTGAAACCCTTTCTCAAAGTAAAATACAAAAAAAGTGGGGGGGAGCTGGGGATGTGGCTTAGTGGTTAAGCACCCCTGGTTTCAATTCCTGGTACCAAAAAGGAAAAAAAATATTATCTTCACTTACATTTTTCTCTTTATATTTAAATTAAAATTTTAATTGTGATAAAATACATATAAAATTTACCACTTCGACCATTTTAAGTGTACAGTTCAGGGGTGTTAAGTCTGTTTACAATGTTGTGCAACCAATCACCTGAACTTTTTTCATCTAGCAACCTTTTTTACATTGTTTAAATGGCCACTTACTTGTTGGTTTTATCTCGTCTGTTAGATTGAAAGTCTCCTGAAGTCAGAGCAGAGTTCTTGATTTCGGTATCTCTTATTGAACTGTCCGGTATAACCAATAATTGCTTCATGAGATTGAATTGTTTTCTCCAGGTTCTTTTCTAATGTGTTCTCTGCAGGGACTTTGTTTTGCTAGAAGACCTAGATTCTGCTGTCAATGAAACAGTGCACATCTTGAAAACATTTCCACTTATGCAAGCAAGGGAGATGAATCAACCGAGTTAGAGGCTGGTGTAAGAGGTTGGTTGCCTCTGCTTTGGAGATTTTGGCTTTTGACTTCACTTTGACATGATGCTGGTGCTGTTTTTGTTCTGGGAGGTGGGGCAGTGCTGCTTGATTTATTTTAAGAAGGCAGAAAGCCAGGAACACATAATTGAAAGGAAGTTTCTGTGCTGGCATTCGGTTTTTCCAACTAAGATGGCAATGAATAAATCGCAACTTCCTTTTGTTTGAAGTGGCTGATGTGAACTGGAGTTTAACATTTTATGCTCATAAAATTGCATGTGGCAGATACTTTTAAAATTCCTGTTTTAAAGCAGGCCTCCACACACTACCAACAATGTGTCCTCTTACCTAGCAGCCTTGCAGATTTGTACTTTACTTGCCAGCCACATTCCTCAGACTTAGAGGAAACTCATTTCCCCCTTCTTTGTGTCCCTAAAGGTTCTCAGAGGACTATGTCTCTTCTAGTCACCTCTGGTTCCCATTTGTTTTCTCAAAATCATTTTTCTTACCTGTGTTTTGGTTTTGTGACTGTTCTCCGTTCTCAATCAAGCAGCATATTTTCCTCGATTTCTCAAAAATATCACATTAAATCACTTGTCTATAAGAGATATTTAATGGAGAAAGAGGAAGCACAAAAGTGGACTTTACCATGTATCATAATTGTATAGAAAAATTAAATTGCTATTTGGCACACTGTTCTTTTTTTAATGGGCTTTTAATTTATTTATTCATTCACTATATATTCAGCAAGTACCAGTTTGTCCCTAGACATTGGACCAAGTAACTTCTTAAACATAAAATATCAGGCATTTTAATTAAAATACTACAATTCAAGTTAAAATAGGAAACAAAATTTGAATCTTCCTAGAAAGTAGATTAACAAAGCTACCTTTACAAGTCACACTACTAAAAGTACAAATTAACTGTTTCAATTATAACTCAAATCAAAGAAATAATATTTAGTTCCTGAATCTCATATGTGCTTCAAACCACATTATTTGTGTCAAATAATTTTAAAGTATCAGTTCTTCCAGTGATCACAGACAAAGGGTTTCTGGGTTCCATGTTGACATTTCTTCTGCCTTCTGAAATTTGTCAGAATATTGATTTTTAAAAATATTTATTTATTTATTCTAATTAGGTATATATAACAGCAGAATGCATTTTGATTCATTGAACACAAATGGAGCACAACTTTTCATTTTTCTGATTGTGCATGATGTAGCATCACACCTATGTGTTCCTCATAATGATGTCAATCTCATTCCACCATCTTTCCTGTCCCCATTCCCCCTCTGCTTCTCTTTTTGCCAAAGTTGCTCCATTCTTCCCATGTCCCTCCTCCTGATTATGGATCAGCATCCACTTATCAGAGAGAACATTTGGCCTTTGGTTTTTTGGGATTGTCTTACTTTGCTTAGCATGATGTTCTCCAACTCCATCCATTTACCTGCAAATGCCATAATTTTATTCTCTTTTAATGCTGAGTAATATTCCATTATGTATATATATCACAGTTTCTTTATCCATTCATCTATTGAAGCGTGTCTCAGTTGCTCCCACAATTTAACTACTTTGAATTGAGCTGCTATAAACATTGATGTGGCTGTGTCACTATAATATGCTGATTTTAAATCTTTGGGTATAAACTAAGCAGTTGGATAGCTGGGTCAAATGGTAGTTCCAGTCCAAGTTTTCTAAGCAATCTCCATACTGCTTTCCAGAGTGGATGCACCAATTTGCAATGCCACCAGCAATGTATCAGTGTACCTTTCCCCCCACATCCTTGCCAACACTTATTATTGCTTGTATTCTTGATAATTACCATTCTGAGTGGAGTGAGATGAAATCTTAGAGTAGTTTTAATTGCATTTCTCTAATTACTAGAGATGCTGAACATTTTTTCATGTCTTTATACTAGTTGATAAATTAGTATCCCACAGGAGCATAAAGGAACAATTCTGAAACCATGGTGCACATACACTACAATTGAATAAAAGTAAATGTGTCGCAGATGGTGGGAGCTAACTTTCTTACTGTCTGAGTAGGAAGTTACAGACAAGAAATGGGGAAAGGCCAGTTTATCACGTGAAGGGGTTTATAAGCCATGAAAACTAGTAGCAATTTGTGATGTTTATGATAAATGTATTTATTTATTTATTTGCTCCTTTATTTCTCCCTTGCTTATGTAAGTGGAAATGTTTTCAAGATTTTCACTGTTTCATTGATAGCAAAGTCTATGTCTCCTAGCAAAACAAGGTCCCTACAGAGTACACATTAGATGTGGTGTTTATGTACAGTTTCTTTTGCCTTTAGTCTTAAAACTATTTCCAAAGTTACTTAGAGTTGCACCCTTCTCTTCAACCCCCTTCAGTGAGACTATTTCATACATTTGTAATATAGATTGTTTTGCCACATGCTGAATTTCTTCCTGTGATTTCCTCAATGATTTTTTCCAATTTTGCATACACAGTGGGATTCATATCATATTATAATGTTTTATGAATTCTGACAAATGCATAATCCAAATCATATCTATAATAGCAGTGTTGTAAAGAATAAGTTTACTGCACTAAAAAAATCCATGTGCTTCAACTGTTTGTATCTTGTCCATTTATCTGGATCTGGAAACCACTGATTTAAAAATTGTCTTTATCATTTTGCCTTTTCCAAGTGTCATGTAATTGGAAGATAGTATGTGGTCTCTTCACACTGACTTCTTTCACTTAGCAATCTGCACTTAGCATCCATCCATGCTTTTGCATGGGATGTAAGCTTATTCTGTTTTATTCCTGCTGTATTCCTTTATATTAACGTCTCTATATAATTTTTCCTTTTGTCCTGAAGAACTTGTTTTGGCATTTCTTTGTATCTCCCATTCTGTTGGAAATGAATACCTTCTATCTTTGTTGAGAAGATTTTATTTCTTCTTCATGTTTGAAGGATAATTCCACTGGTAGAGGCTGATTTTTTTTTTTCAACACAAAAATATTTCATTCCACTCTCTTCTTGTGTGCATAGTTTCTGATGAGAAGTCTGCTGTAATCTTCATTTTTGGTCCTCTACTTGTAAGATGCCTCCCTGCCCTTCACATCCCTGGGTCTGGCTTTTTCCAAGATTTTGTCTTTGTCTTTGGTTGCCTGAAGTTTGATCATACCAAGTGTAGTTTAAGAAAAAAGTTATTATGCTTAGTATTATCTGAGCTTCCTGGATCTCTGGGTTTGTATCTTTCATTAATTTTGGAAGATTTTCATCCTTTATTACTTCGTATTTCTTTTGCTCCTTTCTTTCTTTTTTCTTTTTCTGGTTTTCTAGTTTCACATACATTGCCCCATTTAGAAGTTGTCCTACAATTTTCATGTATTCTAATTTGGCATTTTAATTCTTTTATTTCTTTGAATTTGAATTTAGGCTGTTTTTATTGACTGGTCTTCAAGATCACCAGTTTTTTTTTTATTAGCTGTGTTAAGTCTACTAATCTGCACTTAGAAGATGTTCTTCACTTTTGTAGCAGTATGTTTGGTTTCTAGCCCTTAATTTTTTTTTTCCTTAGAGTTCTTAATCTTTCTACTTATGTTACCCATCTCTTGTATGTTGCCTACTTTTTACCTTA